GTTCCAATATTTTTCCCCAACAAATGTTATGTAAAAAAAACTAAAAAAAACTTCAGTACTTAAAAAAGTTAGAAATTAAAAAACTTCTGAAACTGTTTTAGTTTTTCTTTAAGACCCAAATCTTTGCGACAAATATCCGTATAAGATTCAACAAATTAGCGACGAAAAAATTCCGTCAAACTTGAAAATAAATAAAAATTTTTAAAAGACCATTTTTTAATTTCTTTCAAAATCATCAAAAAAAATTCAAGTTTCGGCTAAAAATTTTAGACAAACAATAAATATTTACCAGAGGAGCGCAATTTCGAGGCTGGTCAGCATCTGGAAGGGTGGTGATCAGGAACAGAACCGGACTGGTAACTAATAAACTCGTCACAAGAAGCATAGCAAAAGTTAGGAGAGCTTTATGAACAGACTTGCTCCTTTTAACCCAGTAGCAAGGAACGCAGCATATCCAGGTTCCGGTGGCCTGAGTCCTCTCGACGGGGACCATGGGCTCGTCAACCGCATTGCTCGCTTCATCAGTGTTCTGTCCATGAGTCGGCGTCGAGAGATGATCTCGCTGATGTTGATGGTACTGCTGTTGGGCTGATACATGTCCGGGTCCTCCACTGGCATGGCTTCCACCTACAGCACAACCTCCGCCACCTGCACTGCCTCCGCCTCCTCCGCCACCACTATGACCGTGCGGCCCCGCCACTGGGCCCGGAACACACAACGCGCGTGTACTTAAGCCTATTTTAATTCCGCCGGATCGAGTTGTTCCACCCCGGGCCTTACGGCCGCGGTTGTTCCGGCTCACCGTACACAGAGCCACATTTGCAGTGTTTTTATCTGAGCTTCCTGACGTCAATCAACTGACAGACGCAGCTTTTTGTTCGTCAACAGTTTAATACTTTGTTGTTTTTTTATTTTTTTTATATGAACTGCATTTCTCGGTTGTTTTTGTTCTTCATACTTCAATTCCACTATTGTTTAATTTTTATACTTTTTATCATCATTTCAATGCATAAATATTTTTTTTGTCTTCAAAAAATTACAATAACTTTTTTTCAACACAAAACAAATACATTGTTTTACACAATTTTATTATTTATTTTTTTTTTAATTTTTAATTGCTTCATAACAATTGGACGAAACTATTTTACTCTAAAATAAAAATAATTTTATTGAGTAAATTAAAAAAGAAAATTTATTTAAAAATCTACATGCATGTATATGAAATGATATGCCATGTGCATTGAATAGAAAATCGATGTGAAAATGCATTTTATTTAAAAAAAATTTAAATAAATAAACATGAAAAAATTTATTGTTTTATCTAACGAAAAAATAATAACTAAAAAGAAAATAAGCTTACAAATAAATCAGAGAGTGTATGCTCAAAAAATACCGTTAGATTGAAAAATATAGCGATGCAGTACTCTGCGTCCATAAGAGGTAACACGCGGACTACTAGACGTACGTGGTATAAACCATCGTGGCGCCTTTTCCACCCTCTTTGAACCCCTTCCTGGTTGATCACCCACCAACGCTTGCATTCTCACATCAACCGACTCCCTCTCTGTCGATTGAGTTAATGCATGTAATGCGCAAACTCTCGACATTTTAAACGCCACAAAACCCTCAAATATTTTACCTGCTAACTATTAATTCACTTTACCTGTTAAATTTGCATTATCTTACTCAGCAATCTTGCGGTCGGAAATTTGAGGGTTGAATTTTGAGTTGGAGTAATTTTTTGGGGAGCGAAATTATTGATGCAGATTAAAATAAAATACAGTTTGAAATCTTAACTCGTGGGAGGATCATTTGACGGGCAGCCGAATTGGCGCTTCCAGAGGGGAGAATAACAGTTAAAAAATTCAAGGATACAGGATATGAATTTTAGCTAACATACATCACAGTAGTCGCCAAGGTATAAAGCCAAGTGATATTAATCAGTCACCAATATACATTTCCGTAGCAGTAAAGCTCGGATGGATCCTCGTGGTTGTCTTATCGATTTTAACATTTGATGCTCCCACGTACAAACATATTCACAAAATCTGGTAGTCGAATGTAGGTCAACTTAATGAAATTATTAAGTCTCGCCAAGACACATTATTTATGTGATAACGGGCATTCGATTTCATTCCTATAAATTATTTTTAAGAACTAGGCTATAGTAACATAAAACCCCGGGAATCAATTACTGTGAGTTACTGACCAACGATACAGTTCTTATAGACTGACTAATTTCTTATTTATTTATTATTTGCCGATATTGTTGTGTAGTTAGCTAAATGATATTCGAAACTTGTACCACCAAATGGATAGATTCATCAATAGGGTGATTAATCAATGTAGACTGACTAACAAATCTGTTCTCGGATGTCCGATTCAAATTCAGATAGATCATTCCTTATGTCAAGAAGGTTTTTTTTTACTGAAATTAACGTCAAGATATTTTGATAAATCGGTTATCAGAGTGGAATTAATTGATTGGTTTTCCGTCTCTTGGAATAGAAAGTAAATTGAATTTTTTTTTTTGCTATCGAAAAAAGGATGAAGAAGCTTACGTGCCTAGTACGAAAGACCACTAAAAATTCTTTCTCAAATAAAAATTAATTTAGATATAAATAACTGAGGCTATTAATAAAATTTTATTGATTTTAAAGTAGCTCGAAAATTTTTAAATTATTTTACCTGAAAAATTTTAATTAAATATAGCTCGTCGTTTATTTTCATCACATATTTCATAGCTATAAACGTTTATTTTTATTTAAATAATTTTAAGAGGTAAAATATTATTGTGAATTATTGTTGAAAAAGTTATTATTAAAAATTATATTTTCTTGCGATTTATTGTAAGTAAATGTGCTTATTTTATTGTACTGAGAATTTTATTGTCCAAAAAATTTGGAATTGTAGCTCATTGACCGCAATTTTTGTACTTTAACATCTTACGTTCAATTTAAAAAATTTTCATGAACTTTTTTTTAGTTCTAAAAAATTTTGTTTATTTTCAAATCTATAAATAGGAAACAAGAATTAATTAAATAAACTTATGCCTCATTCAATTATTAAAAATCGTTTAGTTGTTAAAATCTTCAAAAAAATCTATCTAAAGACAAAATAGTGTCTCGCGTTTAACTACATTAGATTCTTAAAAAAAATATTATTCTATTTTTTATCCTTCCAATATTATCAAAATTAAAAAAAAAAAAAGATAAGGATCGTATAGGAAATTAAAAATATATCACTAAGAAATTATTCTAAATAAAAACTTTATATTTCATTTATTCTGTTGACTGATTTAATTCTCACATATGTATACATTTAATAATTATTATTATTATTTATCATTATTATTATTATTATAATTTTCCTCCAATTTTCTTTTATTCTCTGCACTCTGCAATTTAAAAAAAATTAAAAAAAGTTCGTTTAAAATTAATTCCGCAGGTACTTGAATAAAGTTTTAATATTTTTCTCAAATAAAAAAATAAAGAAAACGGATCTTAGTAGACTCCAAGAGAGTAGAAAATTTTATTTAATATTGATATTAATAACTCGTTAAATTAAATCTCTACTGTAAATAAAAATTTGATTAACAAAATAAATATAATTTAATCGGTAACCGCGTCTATCTACGCCTAGGACGACACATTAATCTGCAACTTTAATTTGTCTACATTATTTTACCAGAAAAATAGTTGAGTGAAGAAAAGATCTAACGTCAAGTTTACATCATTAAACTGTCTGCAACTATAATTAAATATAAATATATGCATGAATTTCATTTATATATATGTTTTAAGTAGGATTTTAAATTATCATTCTTATAAGTCATCTGTATACAATATTTTCTATATATTTATATATGTATATGTTCTCTATAAAGTTTCTCTCTTTATCTGTACTGCATGTTTTTTCTAAATTGCTATCAATGTTTTTTTTTTTAACAAACTCAACTTTTTTTTTTATTATACAAAAATTCTGCAAAGTTATTTAATCTATCGATCAATTTTTTAATTATCCAAGTAAAAATAAAATAATTGTTATAAAAAATAATTAAGCAACAATAAATTATAAAATAAGTCTGACTCCATATTATTCTGGATTTATTGTTTATACTTTTTATAATTGATAAAACTTTTAAATATAACATCATAGGTTATTATTTCTCTTTAATAATAATCTGTAATAATAACTATCATACAATATATTTCTAATAAATATAACAAATATTACATCGATTATTCCTGATATAATTTACAACATATAGATAAATAAATTGAATAAATATAAAATAATAACTTACAATTTTATAAATAATAATAAAAATTACGCTGGTATAAATTTTGGCTATTGTTAAATTTACCAATTATTTAAAAATTGAATATTCAAAATTAGCTTTAAAAAAGCATTATTTATATTATTAATTATTCTCTTCAAATTCATTGTTCCCAATAATAGTTTATATACCTAACTCGATATCTACTTGCATAATAATTTGATATTAATATCAAGTACCATTGTTTCTATTTGATATTTTTGTTTAAATTTAATTTTTATTATTTTTTTTTTTTCAATAATGTTTTCATCTTTTACTTACGTATAAATAAATAGTTTTAGCTTATGATAATTATCATTTGTGCAATTGTTTCTGAGTATAAAAAAAATATTACAAACAACATATAACCATAACAAAAACTCCAAAATGTATGCTTAAAAATATGAATATAAATAATTATTGAATAAAATTAATAATTAAAATGTTAAAACTTAAAAAATTCCAGTTTGTATACAAATATAATCACACGTCTTTCATATTGTTGATAAAATATTTCAAGGAAGACATTAACATTTATAAATAAGTAAATGAAAATAATAAAACGTCAAGTTATAGATAGAGTTTAATCATTTCTGGAGTATTGGTTCGGGCCAGTGTCGGTACGGAAATTAAAATCCTACCATTTAAATTCTGAATGTAATTATAGCAATGGGAAGGATCGTTACATCGCACTTGAACGCTCTTCATGAGCTTTCTTTACGACGGCTAGTTTTGAATGTGGATCGGCGACGGGTAGTCCAGTATAGGGCGGCTCACTTGTACCATGAAGCATTAACGTCCATTCCTTTATCCATCCGTGTTGCGGTGTGTCTGAATTGAACCTCACCTGTGTCATATTTGATTAAAATCAACATTCTGTTTTTTAAAAACTCAATTATTCAAAAAATTTTTTTTCATTTTTTTAAAATCAATAAATATTTTATAGAATAATTAAATAACAATCAGAGGATTTAGAATCAATCAAACTCTCAATTAATATATAATTTTTAACTTCCCGCTAAGAAAATTGAAAATTTTCCTCTCAAGGGAAGTTATTGATTTCGGTCCGATTTTTTTTTTACTTCGCGACGTTTTTATTGCAGCTGTACTATTTGTACTCAATTGAAGTTCATAATATTATTGTTATTTTGGTAATTATTTATAAGCTGCTTAATATGAGACTTTATTACTATAATTTATTGGCATAAAATATCAAACGTTGCGAAATAAAAAAAAAAAATACAATTTAATTAACAGTTTGATTGATACCAAATCCTCTGATTGATATTTAATTATATTAATTGCTAATAAATTTTATATGAAAATTTTTAATTACCTCAAGTATCCATGTTCCTTGTGGATATTCTCCCCAAGTGTGTGTGGTCATAAATGGCCACCTAGTAAATCCATCTCGATGGTCATCGTCATTTATTCTTTTACTTAAAATCATTGATCTGCAATAAAATAACATCATTAATAACTTCATCCTTATAAAAACATTTAACAGCTCTTGACGCGTAATTAAAAAGATCTAGGCTCGAGTCTGAACCCTATATTTTTTCGAAGTAACTTTTATCTTTCAATGATTTTCAAAGTAGCGATGATTTATTTAAAACTCGAACAAATACTAACAATTTTCGAGCTTACTAGTTTGAAGTATGAATGGAGTCTTAACTATAAAGTAATGAAATTTTTCATTTAGATTACTTGACTAACACATGCCTCGACTGATAAAATTGGCGTTAAACCAAACAGAAAAATTTAAAGAGTCGATAGTGTTTATGGATATTAAAATAGTAAATAAAAGAGTACCATAACATTTATCAAACAATCTGACCCGTAATATTTAATACTCTAGTGGACAAAGCTCAAATGAATTTCATTTACATAATAAAAAATTCTCTGTGTAGAATGACCTTTCGAAATATAGTATGTTATATGAAACAAATAAACTTTTGAACTTTAAACAACAGAGAAAAATAAAATGAAGTTCAAAAAACTTAAATATGTGCACGTAAAAAATAACTTTAAAAAAAATTCAGGAAACATTATACGTAGTTTCAAAAATTTATTCAGTTTCGCTATTTAAAAAGAAAAAAAAAACACATTGTCATTTTACATTTTATTAATTTAAACTAAACAAAGTAAAAAATTACACATAAAATCTTTAAAAACGGTTTCTCTAAATTTAATTTAATCGTTAAAAAATTTTTATCGAGATTATTGAATTAGGTACAGAGTGAATGTATCAAGGGGATTAATGGAACTAAAAAAAAAATATGACAGAAAAGAAGAGAGGTATAAAAATCAGAAACCGTGAACTGTAATGTATGGATGGCTTTTGACAATAAATAATAAAATAAAGTAGATGAAAAATATTACCTAGTTGCCATGGGTGAAGTTAGAAAGAGCTCTAAATCACCCCGTCGTGTAGCATTTACTGTAATTACTGCCTGTACATGTTCAAGATAGTTGACAGCCGATTCAGTGCCAGCACACGCGTCTGTTTTTATTTTCAGCAGAATTGAATTATCTTGCGTCACTTTCCTGTATCAACAAATAATTTTTCAGAGTTAGCAAAAATTTATTCAGTAAAAAATTTCTGATTGTTATCTTTAAAAATTTCAAGGATTAAAAATTATGATAAAATAAAATTTTAAAAAATTATTTCCACCTAAGTATTCAATTTTTTATATCAAAAAATTGATAATATTTTTAATTTTTCAAGTTATTTTTTTCATCAAATATTTTTAATTTCTAAATTTAGTCGCCCGTTTTATACGTAAGAAATAAAAGCTGTCGTGACTTAAAATTCTGAAAATTCACTAATATTAAATATTAATTAATATAAGTAATGTAATGTTCGGATTTAGAAATAGACTGTGTCATTCTCAGTAGTGGAATTGTGGCGACATATTGATCGCAGTAAAACCCTTACATATTGAATTAAAACATTTTTGGGTCAATTTTACGAGATCACGCCATCGTTAATATTTAAATTATCGTCCTTGGTCTAATTGTTAAACTTTTCTAATCTAATATAATATAATATAGTGTAACTGGTTTGAAATTATTAATTATTCAACTATTTATTCTCTCGGTGTTTGTATATAATTTTCCATCCACTGAATTCAAACTCTTCATGTAACACTAATTAATTTTTTAACAAAAGTAAAAATATTCCATGGTATAAAATAATATGAGAAAAATAATTTTAATTAATTAAACTACACATCAATTTTAGTGGAAAAAAAAAAAAAAAAAAAAAAAAAAAAAAAAAAAACAGATTTTTACAAAAGCGCGAAAAAATAAAATGAGCGAAACTCAATATTATTTTACCAATTAAATCGCGAAAATTATTCCCGAAATAGAAATAGAATATTTAACGAGTGTCAATAACATTGGAAAAGTGAGTGACGTATAGCGTTGACGTCAAGAGAACCCATCTAGCCAAGGTTGGTGTAGTAATGTCGCCATAAAAACGTCTGATGGGATGAGGAGACGAGCAGAGAGCAAAAGGGTGTAAATTAGTAGAAAAACTTTACTCGTGATAAATGATCCTCGTTCACATGTTATCCATGTATGAGAATGTACATACATATAACACGTCTCTTGTGAATTCATCAGAGGTTAAAAGTGTCCTATAATTTAACGAGACTGCTGGACTACCTTTATATTTACTTTGATAAACTATTAATACACATCTGAAAAACTCAAAAAAACAACGATAATCCCTTGATGATACTGACCCTGCTAAATACGCTCTTGGGAGATGAAATATTAGGTGTTACAAAAACTATTTATAACTGATACGGCAGACTAAAATATCTCCGTTAATCATATTGTTTATTGCAGCGTCAGTATAGTACATATATGTAAGGTGTACGCGACATTAATTTAAGCTTTATACGTATATGTTGTTATAATCCATTTCATTATTTTCTACTATCATCAATCAAACTCGTGCATTATATTAATTGAATTTAATTAAATGGACAATCATTTTAGATTGCAAACATAATGATTGACGTCACTCTTCATTGTATGAAAATGTTTTATTTATCTGATTTTTAATTCTTTTAATTTGTAATATAAATCATAAATGAGGTATGACGAATGGAATGCAAAGTTTAAATTCTCACGTGGAAGTACAAAATATGTAGATATTTATTTTTATAATTTTGTTTAAATGGCGGGTTTTAATTAATTTGCCAAAGTTATTTTTTTAGATTTATATCATGAAAGCTGAAAAATTTGTCAGAGGTGGAATGTTTTTTTTAATTTTTGTTTGTCTGCTTTACTTGGAAATCAGATAAAGTAAAAAACTCTTAAAAAAGTGACAGATTGGTGTTTTTAGTCAGTGTAAATATGAGGGTGCTAATGGCTGACATAGAACCAGGAATAAACAAGAGAAACTAACATGAAGATACGTTTAGTTTTTATTTTTGTTTACCGTAAGAGTAGAGTGAAGAAAAATGGTTCAGGCAGAAGTCATGGGTCGTGAAATTTTAAATAAATAAAGCTTTATGGATTTTTCATCTATTTTTAGTATGCAAATTTTTAAAATGTGACACAAAAATAGTGAAACGTATTAATTTTTTTTTTTGTTATTGTTTGATGTAAAAATTGAAAATTGTCAAAATAAATCTTAAAAAAAAATTAATCCTAGCTTATTAAATTAAAAAAAATTTAATTTTCTCTCTCTCGGTACAAGAAAATAATTTCAACACTCAATACAATAATAATAATATCACAATGGATTCATTGATTTTTTCAATTATTTCTTAACAAAAATAAAACTCTCACGAGAATATTCCACTAGAATCTACCTGTCCCGATGACTATAAATTGGAATTTTATGTCCTCTCATATCGCGAACTTTTAATTAAAAATCCTTTATAACCGTCTCTCCTGTATTATAAAACGCTTTTAACTATGGAATTAATAATGTACAGGTTAATTAATTTGTCAAGTTCTCCACCGTACTGACAACCAACTCATATCATAATATTTTATTGATCTATTTGTCCGTAATACAAGGAAATGTTGACAAAGGATGTTTATGAAAAATGTTATTCTATTATCTTATATTACTATACCTATCGCAAAGTTTATTGCAGCGTTGTTAAATTTGTATATATGTTCATTTTTAAGTATCGCCTAAACTTTAATTACAAATAAAAGTTTTAAACTAAAACTTGAGTACTCATCATTCCCGTCTCGAATATCTTACTGCTGTACAAAATATTTTACGACGATACAGTTGAGAGTTAGTAAAATATTTAATTACTCAACAATAAAATAAGTAACAAGAGTGTTATAATAAATTAAAAGAAAAAAAAAAATACTCACAAATTAGTCAAAACAGATCCAGCTTGACAATGATACCGTGGAGGTACTGTCTGCCATTTTTTAGCCAAAGCGACCATAGCGCCGGCATCGAGGACGCCGTAACCGAATAAATGATTAAATTCGAGCCCCACACCGTTCATGGTCCAGTGAAATCGGCCTTTTGCATCGAAAAGAGAGTTCCTTTTAGATGTTAACACCGTCAGGTGCTGAATATCTCTCCATGTGAGAGTAGGACTGAAATTAAATAATAATTTGCATAATTATATAGATACTCTTCCTATTACTAGTCCGAAATTCCTTCAACAGAAAGCTTTTATTTAAGAACTTAACGATCTCGTTGAAAGGAAATGAAACTTTTTATATGCTTACATTTTATTGATAAACGCATTGAATGATACTGTAAAAGCGTATTCGTTGTCGGTAAAAGAACTAATTATACTATTACTATGCAAATGCTATATACTCACTTTGCTTCAAGTGCCAACGCGAATACTCCAGCAGCTTCTGGCGCAGCTGCCGACGTCCCACTATGGGTTGTTGTGCATTTTCCATAAAGATCTGTCGTCGCCTGTAATGTTTTTAAATAACTCCATTATTACTATCATTCACTGGTTTTTTATTCTGTATTTTCAATATTTGCATTTATAAATGTGGTAATATTTTTTAGCAATTTTTTAAACAGCTATTTCTATGTCTTTATTTGTGATTTTACTTTCCAATGATTTAATAGATCAATAGAAATTGAAATAGACTTTCCGAAGAATAAATTATTGTTTTTAAATATTTTTTCACGACTAGTATTTTAAATTAAATTAGTTTTTCACATCTTCATTCGTTTGTTAATTGTCTCGATTTTTAGTAAAATTAAATTTTCCATTAACATTTAGTGAAACGAAATATCATTAGGCAGACCTATAAAGACGTGAAAAAGTAACTTAGTTATAAAAATAATTCTTTCTGTCATTTTACAAAATAATAATTAGTAAAATTATTTGACTATTTAATTAAAATATTCATGTTTCTCTAATTAGAAAGTAGTCTGAATTATTTGTTAATTTAAGTAACTTGATTCTATATAAAATGATATTTAATATATTTCTTGTTCCTACTAAACTACTGCAGTCTTTTAATATAGAAAGAATAAACAAATTTAATTAAGTTAAAATTCTACTGAATGTAAATATTTTTTTTTTCATTTTAACAGTTACTTTGAAACTTGAAATTAAATATTGCAAATTTTTTATCATTTGCTTAAATAAAATTTATTATTTATAATTCGTTAGTTATATCAACTAAACGCACACTTAAGCACTCAGAAAGGTATAGAGAACCACTCAATTTAACTTGTTAAAGTAATTATACTGAAATTTGTGAAAATATAGAAAAATCAGCATTTATCTAAGCTCATTTCGTCCCCTTTGTCCCTAAATTAAAAGTAATAATAAATTTATAAGAAGACTTGAGTTTTCATCCTTTGTAATAAAAAAGGTTCCGACTAAAGAATAATAAAATGAACATTTTATAAAATCCATCTATAAACATATCAAAGTAAATAAAATATCTACTTGATAAAAAAATAATACAAAATATTTTTCTTATGTTTTTTTTAATAGATACTTAAAAACTAATGTTTTCAAGTTTGTCATCTACAGTGTTCCGAAAACTGAATACGTTTTCAAATATAATATTTCGGTATATATAAAATCAATAAACTGTTTATTTTGCTCTATGCTATAAATTTAAAGTATATATGCTCCGTTGAATATAATATCTTGCAAAAATAATATATTATAAATTTATAAATAATCTCAAAAACGTAAAACGTGTAATCGCGAATTTTCCTCCCTAAATTCATTATTATTCATACGAAAATTACATTTTCAGTCACGTCATGGTATAACTATCTTCTTGTTAATCGTCGTTCCAATTTATGTTTCGCACGAAGCCGTTCAATACTCTGAATGTGAGAGAGCAGAATACATCGGTCCTTTCAATGTCAACATATCTGCTGGTGAGTCTCACTATAATTATGATTATCACTATAACTATACCTTTGAGGACAATAACAACACGAAATTAAATTTGATTCATAAACCTGATACGCTAATACATTAAAACATCTATTTGACATGGTTCGATCAATTGATAAGTTTATTTCAGAGCACCCTAAAATTTGAATTACTCAAAAAACAACCTATGAAAAAATTTTCTGATATGGCTTAATATACCCGTTTATAATTTTTTGATCAAAAGTAGTATTTTAGAAAAAAAAAATGAAAAATAATTTTATTAAATTTAAAAGTCATAATTTATTTTTCACATTTGTATTGGTATAACTTATTGATTCAATTATTTAAATTCATAAATTAATTAAATTACTTTTTTATATTACAAGAGAATTATTTTCAAACATCACGAATTGTATGTACAAAATTATGCAATTATAGAAATCATTTTAAACTATGCAAAATATCCATCAAAGAGTTTATCGAATGTTCTCTTATAAATGTCATAAATTTAATATTGAAATAACATCACTCAACGAGGCATCGAAAGCTTCGAAAGGGCTAATTTAATATAAATCACACGAAAAAGCACTCAGCAAATATAATCCCAGCTGTTAGGATAATTAAAATAGAACAAACATATTTACCACTCCAGTATTCGGATCCTTAGCTCCATTGCTGAATGTCGATGCGAGTGTACTCGAGCAGCTCTCATCATAATGAGCATTTTGGCCAACGTTTATTGCACTATTAATACTAACTGTCCACATGCTCGCCGCATAACCATCGCAATTGCAATCATCTTCTTCACCTCCGTCACCTGAAGCCCACACATAAATATTTCCTAATCCTCGCCGACCCTAAAAAAATATTACAATAGTTAAATAAATATTTATTTTTTCCCTTGACATTTATTCATTTATGTTCTATAAAATTCCACTTGTCATAATTTTTCATTAACCATTTTTTGAGGATACATTTTAATCAAAAATTTTATTTGCTGAAGTACTAAAACAACAGACATTTTCGCGTTAGCAGTAAAAACAAAAAAGCTAAAATTCATTGTGTTTAATCGAGTTAAATATTTGTTCAAATGCTAGAAATTCTCAACCCAAAATTCATCGCCGTGTAATTAAACTTTTTTATGGAGTTGAGCTTTTTTATACAACTAAACTGTTTACTTGATATCATACTTCATTAACTCCACGGACGATGGCTCGCATCGTTGCATTTCTCGGGCCATCGACTGTTTTTCCGTCGTCGGTGGGTCCCCAAGAGGCGCTGTAAATATCAATAAGATCCGGTTCATGACCCATGCTATTTGCTTCGATCAAATCGGTCATGTACGGCTGGTCGAGCATACGAATTCCAGCAACTTTTGAATCGTACGCCACTCCAACTCCGCAAACTCCATTGTCACGTGCTGCAGCCACTTCTCCAGCACATCTCGTTCCGTGGCTGAAATATATTAAGTTTCTTTTGTTAATATAATTTTATACTTCTTCCAGCTTTTCGCAAACTTTTGTGTCGATAATGGATTCATTAGAGTGGGTAACAATAAATAAAAGTTCACTCTAAAAGAAGAAACAGTTACTTTTACGGTCATATCATTATTATTATTTTTATTGTTTGAGATTTATTAAAATCACAACTTGAGTTTTATCGAGTTTCTTTTAAATTATTATATATTCTTATAAAACAAATTTATTTACCTATTGAACCAATCATCTGTGTATCTAGGATATGGATAAGGATCATTGCTACTAAAGTCATACGATGCCTCCGCATTCTGAAACAAAAATAAACAGATATTAATTTATTTTTTATAATTTAGAATTATTTTAAAATATTTTGTCAAGTAACTAAAAGTCAAGAATAACTATCAAATAATAATAGAGTGATTAAATAGTTATTATTTAATTTTGTTTAAAATCGAGATAATTTTTTTGTTAAAAACAGTTTACATAAAAAATATGAGTTGGATTGTTAACGCAGAATAAATTTTAACTGACGCTAATTAGATTTGTTTTTATTTGGATTATTGACAATCAAATTAATTTTTATTTACTTTCTATCAAAATGTTCAAATGAATTATCATTCATCTACAAAAAAATAAAAATAATTTAAAAAATATTTATATGCTGAAATTTTATAATTTTCATGAATAATATGCTCTTACAAAATAAGATTCCGCTTCTTTATTAAGAAACATTAAAAAAGGAACGAACTTTCATAAATTTTTTTAAATGTTTAACTTAAAAAATTGTAAACTTAAGCCGGTACCTCATTCTCGATTAATTACCGTACTTTACTTATCTTCAAACGTAATTGAGGTAATTCTTGAAATGAAAAATGGCTCAAATTTAATTAGGATTATATAGGTACTAATAACTTCACCCGAAGACGCATTAATCCCTTAATTATTACATATATATATATATATATATATATATATATATATATATATATATAATATATACAGATTATTGTATTGTGATATAATAGCATGAAATTATACATAAATATATCTATTAGTTATCTATTAATAGATATCAACATATCAATACTAAAATTATTTTTTTTTTGTTGCTATTAATTAAGAACACTATTAGCCATAGTACGTACACTTAAAAGATCGATTGTTTTTTATAACCAAAATAAAACAATATTTGATTTCGAAATTATTTTTATATTATCTCTTCGAAATAACTTGGATCGAATTTCGTGTGAATCCCTACGGGATGTTCTACGTTATGAAACACTCTGAAGTCTTGAAAACAAAGTCTTTTATTCCAAATCCCTTTATGATACTCCTGTGATCCGTGAGATAAGGTATCTTTATTTTAATCCAATTTTTAATACGATGTTACACCATTCGATTTCTAATTTTAAAACTTTCAACGATTATTCAAAATTCTACTCACAAGGGAAGTATAAATTACATTGAATTAAAGATAGGAAGAATTAATAAGAGAGAGTTTCAAAGCCTTATCTGAGTTACTCTGACTTACTCTAGACACGCGGGGATGTAACTTTAAAAATCAAAAATTTCTAAAAAAATAAAAAACCGAATCAACTCTTTGGCCTCTAAACCTTGTGGGTACAAATGTAATAAAAATTGAATTGGTATTTATTACAATTTCAATCTGCTCAACGAAACAAATACTAACAAGTAGTAACTACAAAAGGTAGTTGTTTAGATGTGGAGATTTAATTTTTTAGTCATTAAAAAACGAAATACATGTTCTTCAACGAAAACAATAGTATGCTACTTTACAAATTGATAACTAAAAATTTCGAATAAAAATTTTATTGACTTCTAAATTAAAAAATACATTTTCTAGCATTTTTTAAATTATATTCATGAATCTATCACAACAAACAATAAAATGAAAAAAAAAATTAGTTTAAAGTGTTTCTTTGTCTTGAATCAAGCAGAAAAATTCTTGAACCTAGTAAAAGTTTACTTTTTTGACTAAGAGTTTTTCAAAATAATCAAAACTTTCAAAATAATTTTACTCCTAAATGGTAACAAAATCAAATTATAATGAATCAAATTAATTTTTTTTTTATCAGTGTATATTTCATAAAAGCCAACAGATAAATTTTACTAACTAAACTTTTATCATATACCCTATATATTTTTTTATAACATCAGTCCAGCGAAGTAGGATGTATGAAAAAATAAATAATTGCTGAATCACATCACTTTTAATAGCCCCAAAAGGATGTTATTGCTTTGGCCATACAATGAATTTACCAAACAAGATAACAGCCATTAAAGTGTACTTTTTTTAACGAATTGACTGATTTATTAGGAATCGTGCAGGCTATTGCCATGATAGAGCATTTTTTCAAAATAAAAATCCATAAATGTCCAATTATATTATTTGGCTATCTCATAACTTATGACATATAGAACACTTCTCTGTCTTCGATTAATTGAGACGTACATGTAGAGGTGTGTCATTCAGTTTTATGCGGTTTGTAGGCTAAATTACGAGTTTATATTTGAATGAATTTGATTCAAACCTTTATTTGCGTTCGTGGTAGTTTCTAGCTTCGAATCAGAATAAAGTAAATAAAGATTCGAATCACACCGCAGTGTTGAATTTAAAAAAAATTCTATTAACTAGTTTACTCTTTTCTAAAAGACACGATGTTTAAATAACAAAAAGTTTTTTAACGGAGTCTCTTTTATTTACTTATAATAAAGTAAAAAAAAAAAAAAAAAAACCTCATTGAAAACTGGGAGCGAACGGAATACATTTTCCTCAATGCAGAAGAACAACTCGTGAACATGAATATGAATAGATTATTCAGGGTTGTGCAGTGTGAATATACTATGCTAGGAGAATAAAAATTACGAGATAAAATTTTCATTGTTATAAGGTCAAGAGTATCATGACTCATAGATAATACAATTAAATAGTGAAGGTATTAACTTTAATATTGCAATGCCTACACATAACAAGACTGGCTGCAATCATCCCGGAAGTAAATGGTAATTTTTGTTATCCCCGCATTTATACTTATATGCGCAGATATGCCAGGATTTTTACTTGTATTGGTATTAAGCGAGAATTATATTGATTGAAAAAATACAAAGACGTAGGGTTTTAGTTTTAGCTTCAATGTAATATAAATATTAATATTATGAAAATTATTATATCAGATAAATGTAAGTTTCAATAACAAAATTTAACGCCCACTATTGTTATAATCTTTATCTAAAAAGGATGCTATAATATTCAGTGACGTCAATGTATACGCGGTATTAAATATATATTATTTGAAGCATTATACACAGTTGAGCAATTATTGATTAAATGACTAAAATAAAGGTATTCGAATACTTACGTAATTATACTTTAAATCCGGGTGCATATAATCGACACCTGAAACAATTTTTATTTTTTATTTATCTATTTATAGCCATCTTTTGTAAATTATAGTATTGAAATTTATCTTAGTTATTTTTTCCAGCCTTAGAGTAAATTAGCTTTGTGGGAAAATAATTTTTAACAGAATTATAAATCACATTAGTGAATTAAAAAATTTTGAGATCATTTTCAACGAAAATTAATCATAATGATGCTGGTTTCTATGTGTTGGATATTAACTTTTGATTGTAAGAAAAAAGATGACGTATTTGACGGATGGGTAATATTAACTGTTTGGCTATTAATAATTATTGTGCAATTTAGTTATGTATGTAGCACTGTGTTCGATAATTCATATTAATACATAATTTAATTAATGTATCATCAATCATCACTTATTGAGTTTTAAAAAAGTCTGCAAAGTTAATAAAAATTTCGCAGTAACATAACATATTTGAAACTTGTGTTTCTCGTTCAAAGTTTTTCAAAACTCTATAAAATGACGGTAAAAAATAAAAAGATTAGTTTTGAACTTTTTGATGTTTATGGATTTATTTTTACAAGAACTTTAAATTATACTCATTTTTCTTAAAATTATAACTTAAATTAATTAAAAAATATTATTTAGTGTAAAATTATAATCAACATTTTGATAAAAATAGCAATTTATCTAATTTTCAAAAAATTAACATTGATTCATTTCCCCACACTCTAATATCATTAAAATTTCAATCTCCTCAATTAATAAAACACAAACGACGTTTCTAAACTTTAAAACATTAATTTCAGGATAAATTTCTGAGATAACTAAATTAAATTCACTAAAAAGTTCTTCAAAGTTGTGAATTTTTTTCTCTTTGAATGGAAACCTGATTTGATTACAAAAAAAAAAAATGGAAATAACAACCAAAGTTTCAACATATCTAAATTTTAACATTCACTAGTATAGGTCAAGGTTATCTTTTTTGATAAGTTTTTCCACATAGCCCCATTTGTCATGAACGTGAAAAGAAACCTAATTTCAAGTTTTCTGATCACGTAAAGCCATAAAGAAAGTTGCTTCTAAAAATGGAGGGCAAGTTTACTAATGAGCCCTTTCGGTTTCTTATAGTATTAGTTCTTGGTAGTCGCAGAGTATTATTAGTTTATAACAACGGTAATAATAATAAATAATCTGTAATTGATGACTCACCATCATCCATAATAGCAGTCGTAACATTTTTTCCCGTAACACCCTGAGCCCAGGCTGCTTCTACGTTAAGGTCGAGTCTCGGTTTTCCCCCATTTTGTCCAGTATTTTTAAGATACCACTGGTATTGAAAGTATGGATCCGTCGGGTCCTGACTTGCCTGCTCTTTAATTAATTTTCTATCGTATGATGGCACGAGATTATCGACACTTAAGGGACGATATCCCCGCTTTACACGCTTGAAACCCATCTGCTGTACTGCCGTGTGTACCTAGAGATTAATCGATTATATTTTATTATCATTATCATTATTTATCACATAGAAGATAAAAAATTTTTATAAGCTACCTATTACACAAAAGAAAAAATTAATAACTTAAATTAATATCAATGGCGCTTTGATTTACTAGGTCAAACATAGAGTTTTTCAGCTTTAATATTGAAAATTTCCAAAAATTGAAAAGTTATTAGTTTCTGTCTAATTTTTTCTTCAAACAAAAAAATCGTTCTTTTATTAGATCTGAAGAAAAGATTTTTATATTTTATTTTAGAAAACTTTTTCCATCTCAGATTTATAAAATAAAAAATTGAAAAATTATAATAAATTTTTTTTTCATCTCTATATGTAGCCATATATAACCAAACCAACCTATTTAAAAATTGACCATACATGGACTTAGAAAATTTTTTTACGAGAACCGTACAGATGTCAATCTGATGATACCTTAACAAATATGGAAATCCTTTAGTTTATGTTCAGTTGATAAGGATTTGAAAAGTTACAAAGAAAAAATGGTAAAATTATACAGAAAACTTGTTACTGAAACTACCTGGCAATTTAGAATAATCCTGGTATATTTGACTTTTATGTTTTATGAAAAAAGTATCACCTCATTGTCACTATTTCCAGTCTTATCTTTTATTTCAGTAATTTTTAATAATAATTGTAATATTCTCTCTGATATTCTGAAATTTATTTTAACTTTGAAACCTTACGCTAGCGTTTTTCAACGGCAAAATTTGCATAACTTGCTAAAGCATATATACTTTACATTACTTTTTCTTTATTTTCCATTAACTTTACTTAAATGCTTGATTAAAAAAAGAAAAAAGACAGCTTTTTTAAATCAACAAAGAAATATTATTCCAAGTACTTAAACAATCAAGCTTCACTTATCTATATTTCTGTTTTGATTTCTGTAGTAATAAAGTTATAACTTTTAACTTAATGAATAACGGTTAATGTGGAAAGTAAATTGATTGTATTTATTCAATGCGCAAGACAGCAGTAAGATTTATGAAAAGCTTACAAGTTTAATGTAATTTACTCTTTACTTGAAAACTTTGTAATATCGACGTTTGCCATTTGATTTTATCAAACAATGTTTAAGACGGTTCGTTTTGTATGACGTCGTATCTTGTGACGTCTTTCCTACCTTGGGAAAAATATATGAGTAATAAATAGTCCAAAAAAGTTTCGATTAAATTATTTGTATTACAAGCACATTTTTCGTATGAGTTCAATATCTTGTGGCGTCATACGACGCCCTAATGTCTTGGAACATCTGACGACTGTTGACGTTATATGTTGCCATACCCATACACGGAGAGAAAAATATGGAAATCATTCCTATAATTTTAATGAAATATTTTCCTATACCATTTTAGGAGCGATTACTTAAATTATGGGAATTATACCCATAAGTTTTGGGAAACGTTACTATAATTATGGGAATGGTTCCTATAATTATAGAAACGATACCTATAATTATAACTGTAATATCGGCATGATTCCCATAATATTATAGGAATGATGCCAATAATATTGGAGTAATTTTTTTTTCACACAACTGTGGTATTTAATTAATTACTTTTCACTAGATTTATTTTTTTTTTATTAAGTGATTCTTTTTTTATAATATATAAATTGATAAAAAAAGTTATCAGTAATAATATTTATTATTATTATCATTATGAAATTAATCAGTTGCAGCAGTTGATATTTTTTAAATCTTGAATGGTATACATGTTTGTAAATTAAAATAAAATTAATTAAAAAAAAAAGTTAATTAAAAAAAAAATTTCTACTAGAGAAAAAAAAAAATTTCTTAAATAAAATAAAATTTCCAATTGTTTTGAAATTACAAATTTTCAAATGTTTTCGCGGCTCAACGTATATATTTTAAATAAATAATTTGCTTTAAAAATAAAATAAAATTGTGAAAATAAACAATGAATTACCATATCTATTTTGCTCCTACAATTGCATAGTGAGAAAATATCCTTTTTATTAGAGAAACTTAAAAATTGCTACAATATTATTTAACACAATAATAACTGAGCTGGAATAAATAATTCAAGATTAAGTACACACATGAATAAAAATTATGAAAAAGAAATTTCGTCACTCTAATGAAAGATCAATTTTTATTTACAAAAAAAAAATTTATTAGCAAAAAAATACATAATAATTACTTAATATTTTTGAAGTGATTGCTTCATTATTAAGAAAATAAACTTTTTTCTATTATTATGTGCGTCATTCCCATAATATTATAGAAACCATTCCTATAATATTATAGGAACCATTACTATAATATTATAGGAACCATTCCCATAATATATTGAAGGTATTCCATTATTGTATAGGAACGTTTCCAATAAATTATGGGTATGGTTCCCATAATGAGTATAGAATTAATGCCTATAATGATAATTTTATTATAGGATCCATTCCCATAATTGTTGGAAAGATTCCTATAAATTTCTCTCCGTGTAGAAATAAATTGAGACATTGTCTGCGAAAATCTCTTATTAACTCATAGTTTCAAATTTTTATAATTGTGAAATATTTGTTGACTGTTAATAAATGTACTTCTTTTTCAAAAAAATGTTTATTGAAAGTTAAAAAATAGTTGATAATAATATTTAATAAAACATTAAATTGTTTCCAAATAAATAAATTTACTAACAGTTAATAAATTCTTCTACCAGTGTAACTCGTTTAAAAATAAAATGCATGCATTAATCTGATAAATTTTTTTGTAGATCGATTATTATTATTATGTTCTATTAATAACAGGTATACTACAGAGTTAGTAACAAACTTTCTTATCAATTTTTCTTTCTCACAATAACTAAATTCTATCGTAATATCAACAGACACAAATAAAGTTAGTGGTATTCCAATAGAACCGTCCACGAAAAAAGTTTTCGAAACTGGATTATAAAGTTGTGAAGAAAAAAAACTACTTACCAAGGGATCTATCTTAAGTCGTCTTGTGTGAGGCACAGACCTCTTAGTTCTTGCATGTGGCAGAGCAGTATGAACAAAATGATATTCCGTCTGGCTTCCCAAGACCTTTAGTAGAAAAAAATTAATAACTTAAATTTCACATTGAATACAATCATTGAATATTTTTATCCGAAAATAAACGATAATAATAACAAAATAAATTTTTTAGATTTAAATCACACAACAATAGAGCATTCAAAAGTAGTATAGAATGTTTTTCTAGACTCTAGACGGGTGAAAAAGTATCAATAAATGTTTTCTCTACAAGGTATTTTGTATAAAAATTCCAATTCTACTACATTTATCATAGCTCGCATGTATCGCTATTGATTTTACTCACGAGCTTTTTTTTTCTCTCCTACGCAGCACAATCTAATCACTAAGAAAATGTACTTGAAAATTACTTCCACACAATAAATAAATAATAAAATTCATTTCCGTTTTAATAGAAAAAAAATTAATAAATATCAGATACATCTCAATTTTCTTTTCAATTAATTAAAACCAAATAAATTTATCTCCTATAATTAAAATTAATTACATTACCAAGTAAATGTCATCATACAATTCCTTTACATAATTCGAAGTAATTAGCGCACTGACTTATACGAATCTGTTTTATTAATTAAAATAATAATTCAATTTCTGATTTAAAAAAAAAAAAAAAAAAAACATTTCTTTAAACTAGCTAAGTAAATTTATGTGTTGGCATAAATTTTAAATAAATGTGAGGTATAATATTGACTGATGTGCTGTTTTTTTGAATCAATAGAAAAAAATCTAGACGGAATGAAACAAATGTAATAATATAAATATGTAGACATAGAACATGTAAGCATTCAGAAAAAAATCTACTGTGTATTTTGCCATCAATAATAAAAGGTCATCTATAATACTTTTTGCATTTCTTTAAGCCGGGTTTAATTTTTTGCTATTTAGTACATGAAATATATAATACAGAAAGATTATTCGTTCATAAATCTGAAGCTTCAATTCCTTTTTTTATTTTATTTATTAAACTTTGCGACGGAAGAACACGAGCCAGAGCTACAAAGCTTCTTTAAACAAATTTCTCAACACATTATAAATCGATGAACATATTCATGAAAGTTTACTTGAGGGCAATTAACAATGCAAAATTAAAAATTAGCAAATCCAGGTTACTGACCTCATCAGACACGTATTTTGAGATACTCGGCATTAAGAGACTGACCCGCATGTATGCAGATATCAACCTGATACTTTGGACGATTGAGTGTTAAGTTATATGACGCGATGCAACTTAACTCTAAACTTTTCAGTAAAGCTCAACTTTCCTATTAATCAATACAATCTTATGACACTAATTTCCAATTATTCATTATAAACAAATTGTTAGTTTCACAGTTAATTTATTACTCCTCCAAACTACTCAACATTTTGTTTATTGCATCCTTCAATTTTTCAGGAAAGAAAAAAAACAGCGATAACACTTTATGCTTCATGAGAAGTAAGAATATCAGTATGAATATTGTATAAAGATTTTAAAAATCCGAACAAAAACAGTTTCACTGTAAAAAAATCGCGCCAAGTCCACGTTCATAAGACTATTAAGAAAAAAAAAATTTGTTTTCTTTACAAAAAGATATAAAATAAAAAAATTAAAAAATCCAAGTAACCGATATGATTGTATATGATTTTCCGAAATTAGAAAAAATTTTGTTGTAAATTTAAAAATTAAAAAAAAAATTTTGGAACGTATTTAGTGTGCGTGGTTGCAAAATATTTTACTTTTAATGAAATTCGTGAATTTTATTTACTAGGACTTTATAAAAATTGAAATACACAATGACGCACACCAAGTACATTCCAAAATTTTTTTTTTAATTTTTAAATTTACAACAAAATTTTTCTAATTTCGGAAAATCATATACAATCATATCGGTTACTCGGATTTTTTAATTTTTTTATTTTATACCTTTTTGTAAAGAAAACAAAATTTTTTATTCTTAATAGTCTTATGAACGTGGACTTAACGCGATTTTTTTTACAGTGAAACTGATTTTATTCGGATTTTAGTATTTTTTGTAATTAAAATAAAAAATTACAATTGGTACCAACTTAAATCTCGCGAATAGCAAAATCTCTTTTTATAGCAAACTATCCCCTTGAAGCTACAATTTATGTAAAAATAATTGCAGCGCACCCTGGCGGGTGTAGATGCAAGCTGTAAAATATCTTTTTTTAACTGTAGTTTCCCATCTAATGAAGCATTACTATGCATTCTCGAATTATTTAGTCTGTGCTCATCGAAAAAAAGTCAGGATCGAAATTTTCGCGTTGCTATAGTTTGTGCTGATCAAATTTAGTAATTTCAAGTGTAGTCACTACTTGGACGTAAAAATACGCCTTTATTGAGCGTTCATCAAATATTCACATCGAACTTTATGATCGTTTCATAAGCTCAAGCTTTTTATGCAAAAACCCCTCAGGAATTCAGCATGAATTTTCTTCATATATACAATAATAATAAAACTCTGATAGAACAACATTTTCATTCACATACTAAAAATAGTTTAAATATTCAAGAAGTTTATCTATTCAAATTTATCACTTTTGTATGACAAATAATTTTTTTAAGTCCAAAATATAACCTTAACCAGAAAAACAGGAAAATATTTTCAAATCTTTTTTATTTGAAAAAATTTAATACCCATTGAAGTAATTTTAACATTGTTTTATGCACTCAAAGGCTGAAAAGAAGTCGGGTTTTTTATTTCAATCTTTGAAAGGCGAAACATTTAACAACATTTGAATGTACTTCTAGCGTAAAAAAATTCTTTTGAAATACTGAGATGCTTTGATATATTAATAGACCATAAAATAAAATAAAACCGATTTTATTATAAAAAATTAATTTAAATGTCTTAAAATCAATTGAAAATTATTTAGATTATTTTTGAACCAATGAATTTATCTGTTTACTAGTCACCTAACCAATCTTATCAATTTGTCAGCATAAATATTTATCTTCTTGAACTGATTACTCGATTTCACTCAACCGCAAATCAGTATACTAAATTATCTCCAATTCTGCAAATAATTATTTGCGTTTGCTAAATATTTCCTTTGGGAAATAACACATTGATTCGATAAAAATTTGATGTTTCTCATGAGAAAATTACTATTTTATTTTTCCGATTGCTTTCTTCCATTTAATGTGTTTAATCCCTTGTCATCGAATTAATTTAACAATTTTAATTGCTTCCTGCAAATAAAGCCACAATAACGACTGCCGTTTATTTTAGTATTCAAATGAATTATTTATTCCATTTATAAAACGATTTCATAGGAAAAAAAAAATAAAAATAATAATGATCATAATAAAGTTATATCCAAGTAATAACCGATAATTGAAGTTTGCGAAAATTGCATAGATAATTCAACTTCCTTCATAATAACCAATTAATTATAGCGATCGAGAGAAAATTTTCCAGCGAATGCAGATTGCCATCAATAAATACAGTTTAGGATGGACTAAAAGCTGATATAGCCATTAATTTCTGCAGCTCGACAAATTTACTACGCAAATTTATCTATACACTGAAAATTTTACAGTGATTTACCGCCCAAGTTTGCTTTAAACTAAATCTTTGCAGAAATAAGCTATTAATACGTGTTATCAATGATTTATAATAAACTTGATCATGTTAACTTATCCTCGTCATAACATATTGGCTTTAATTAATGATAATCATTCATTTTTTCGCTTATTAAATAACAATATCATTTTATTCCAAATCAATTTTTATTTTTATTTATCAATTTTATCAAGATACATTTATATGAACTAACTCATTTCACTCAAATAATTTATTTAAATTATTTTTAGCTTCATCTGAAGAAAACCATACCCCAGAAAACTATATGAAAGGTTTAACCCGAAAGGGTGGTGTTATTTTTACCTTGTTGTTTGCATCAAATCTTACGCTTTCATAACTTTCGATTACGAGAGTGTATTTTTGGTCTTTTACTATCACTCACAACCGTTTAATTCTCTACTTCTAACTCCTACTCACTGTCTGTGGAATAATTTTCATATTCGTATTAGGCTTTTCATGATAACAAAAATGTTATTCATCCCAATGCGTCGATTGTTTTATTCTTGATATGTGTTAAAAAAGAAAATTGGTTAAGTCGATCAAATTAAAAATCATTGACAGATAAGTTCTCAAAAAAAGTAAAAACATAGTTCTTATTTTAAAACTCAAACTTAACTCTCTTGTAAGGAGATGATTCAGCAACCACCGTCGGGTATTTTCAACACTACCCACGACCATAAAATTATATGTAGGTATGTTAAGTCTCAAAAAAAAGTTTTTTTAGTTCAAGATTTCTCTTTTTAAATGATGTTTATTTTCTCATCAGTGTAACAATATACCACCCTCAAAAATCAATTAATAAATTAATACTCCTGATTCTTGACTTCCACTCAAAATTTATAATTTTTTAAAGTTATTACTATCATTATTTTCTTAAATGTACTTCCGAAATGTGCATGGATGTTGGTCTATTGACCTACTTTTATTTACTTCAACAACCACTTAATCTTAAATAAACAATGCTTCAGCTATTGATTTGTTTTTCAATACTGGCAGTAAATATTGCACGTTAAAAACACAATAAATATTATATTTTGATATTTCTTGTTTCATACAGCAAAAAGATTTTTCAGATTATTAAGAACAAGTTATAGAAAATCATATTTCTGTTGTCATAGAATTGGCTCTTTGGGTTTTGGGATTCACCCTCATAATGTCGAAATGGAATTTTTCCATCCAACGGATCATTTTTTATTATCATGAAAATGTTTCTTTGGTTATGTTATTATTAATTTCTTCAATTTATATTTGTGGAAAAATTTATTCTGATAAAATAGAAAAAAAAGTAAACCCAGAATACAAGATGATCGTTTTGAAAAGAGTTATTTATTCGATATTCATTATCGATTGGTTTTATTTCTATAATTTATTATTGATTATATTCCAAAAAGAATAAAAAAGAAATCTAGTAACTTCAAGAAAAGCAAGTATTTTATAACTCACGCTTTGAAAAAAAAAAATATTCCCAAACTCTGAACATTAATGTTATTATTATGACTTATGTGTAGACAACTATTCATCCAAACTTTGATAACTTCATAAATACATAATGAAACTATCATTCAAATTGATATGTATTTAGAGTTTAATTAAGCTAATAAATTACATTTCCACCACAATATATAATGATATTATTATCATTATTCATTATTAATAGAATCGATTTATTAAACTCGGACAATAATAAACTATAATTATTTTACGAAAATTACATGACATCAAACATTGTAATGTATATTAACATAAACTTGTTTTGTTATGATGATAAAAATGTTTTACGTCTCAGAAGCTGGTAAAGTTTTAATTAAAAATGAAGTAAAACGTTACAAATTGTGAATGTAAATGAAAAAATCTAAACTCTGTTTATGTTAATACTATAATAAAATTGTTTATATTCATTGCGTGATAGTCCAGTAAATTGCCGGAGATGCTAAAGAGAAAAAGTATTCTGAGTGGTGAGCAAAGATAGAAGCTAAAAGTGGTATCGAGCTCATAACATTTTATCAAGTAATTTTCTCTAAGTATTTCTGGTTTTGATATCATAAAATAAACTACTCGAGATTATCTGGATAAATTACCTGCTATTACGCTTAGCTTAGAATAGTTGTCTATGGTCAATGCCAAACATTCTTAGAATGAAAAGAAGTAAAATGCTCTTTAAGATAATGCTCATAGTTCGAATATCTTCAAGCTAAACATTACTTAGATTGCTTTTAAACAACAATCTAAGCTGAATGCTATCGATTGATATTTCTAAGTGATTTTAATAATTATTTATAAATTTTATTATTTTCTGAAATTTTTACAACTTGAAAAAAACGAATTCTTTAAATATTTTTTAACTTGCTAATAACTGAAATTTATTACAAAATTTTTAAATTAAAACATTGTCACTCATAATTACAAACGAATTCGAAAAATTTATTTGAATGTTATACTATAAAATCGAGGCTTTGAAAATTTAATTATATCTAAAACAATAAAGTTACGTGATTCTTGGAATATAAATGAAATTGCATAATATCTTCAATACAAAAAGAATGTAAATGAGAAACACCTCCGATTGACAGCTTTTAGAGAAAAAAAGAAACCAATACTTATTTCCAATGATTAACTTTATACTTTTTTCCAATAAAAAATAAAGGAAATATTTTATTCCATGAATTGTTTAGAATTCTAAACTTCCAGTTAAATTTATTGAATATTTTCATTTGCTTAAACTTATATACAAAACTTTTATTTAAAAAGAAACGAATTTAATTAAAAACTTTTCTTGTTGGGCATACAATAGAAAGTGACTATGTTTATAACAGCTGTGTTTGTCCAAACCGTAACTACGGAAACTCTCTCACTTCATACACAACATATGCACCGTAGATACATTAATTACACTAATAAAAAGACAAATATCAAAGATTAATAATAGTTTATAAATAAATAAGAAGTGAAAAAAAAACTTACCGGACCAAAATTAACAAATCCATTTCGCTGAGCAACTTGATCAGCTAGATGTCTAACAAGAGGTTGTTTCATCTTTACCAAAAATGCATTTGTGAATACCTCTGGCTTAGCATTTACTGTTTGGAAACCAAAAACCACCAAACCAAAAATCGTTATTAAATTGAAGTAATTAAACAACTTATTGTATTTTTTATTACTGTAAGCGCGCATTTTACAATTAGGATGATACTCATTTAAATAAAAACAAGATGAGTTAGAGTGTTGGTTAAAAAACGAATTATCTAGCTTAGTTTCTCTTCTCTGAGGATCAATAAACTTGTTATTAATTGTTGTTGATGAATGATACGGAGCAAGGTCAGTGGTAACACAAGTGTCATCGTGGATCGCGTCAAAATAGACGCGTGTTTTCTTCATGCTCGTTCGAATCTGACTGCTAGTGTGCCTTGGCTCCTCTGACAGTCGGTAACAAGCTTGCCAACCCTCTGCTCACGTTTTGTACGAGTGTATGTATATGTTATGTATAGGGATGTATGAGTGATATGTACCCGTGCTGGTGGTTAAACTTGCGCGGTGTATGGTATTGCCAATGCAGGTATACGACAAATCCGGCATCACACACCTCCGAGCACTACCACCATTGTAACTATTTCGCACTGTGTATTTTGCACTACGACCACAGTTTTGACAACAAGACCACCCCCTACGACTAAGTTCTACTGTACCTAGGGGTCTAGTCCGACTAGAATCGAGTTTTTCTACTTGTTCGCGCGCAACATCTACAGGAAAACCGACTCCGTGACGTCACACGCCATATTGATTCGGCGTGGAGAGAACATTTTGTATTGTAGTGGTGAGAGAGAGTGATAGTTCCTTTTAGTTTTAACGCGCCCGCGCAATAATTGTTGTGATTATTAATATTCATTTTTAAATTTAATATTTATGAATTCACACTTTTATTTCTGTTTCCTTTTTTTTTTGAGCTGTCTATTAATATAAATCTTTAAAAATTTATTCATTAAAAAATTATTGTTTTATTGTAATTATAAGTTGTAAAAGTAATGCAATAAATTATTTTAACTTTATTAAAATTCAAATAAATTAATTTTTTTATTATTAAATAAAAATCTTTTGATAAATTTTCATTTTTTATCAATGAAATTTTTCAGATGAATTTATTTAAAATAAAGTTTTTAAGGCAAAATTTTCTTCTACTTTGAATAGAAAAAAAAATATTCACAAAAAACTTTTTACGTGGCTAAAAATAAAAAACTTATAATACTTTTAAAAAATTAATCCATCAAACCTTTCTATTAAAATCGGATTATAAATAAAACGTTCATTATTTTGGTATTAAATAATTCAAAGGGCTAATGATCATTCCTAATGGCTAGAAAATATAAATTAATTAGTCTAATTCCCATTACTATGATAGCTTTTTTTTTTAATTATAAAAATTATTATTACCATTATAAAAGCTTTTCCTATTCCTCTTACACTTATCAGCTTAAAATAATGTATTAAATTAACAGAGTTAAAGGAGTTTCTTGTGTAACAAACCCTCAAGCTAGATAACTAACTATAAATATCTAATTTTTACTTTTTAATTAAAAATATAATCTTCATATTTTAGAACTTTGAAGGTACATATAATAGACGCTAACTTATTCCTGCTAAAAAAGAAATTTTAATAAATATATCAACAAGTTTTAATCTTTGTACTTCTTTAGTAATAATTTTCAATGCATATTACATTTTTATAGTAAAAATAAATTAAATAAAACTTCATTTTTATCGAAGTTTCTACTGGCATTATAGAATTAATTTAATACTTAAACTAATTTCTTCCGTGGGTTTTTAACTAAGTTTTATTTTGCACTCGAGCAAAGTTGAAAAAAAATTTTTTTTTTAATGTTTTGAGAATAATGTTATTGCAATAAAAAGTTCTATTTAAATATTTTATTATTTTTTAAATTACCAGACAAACAATAAAATAAAATCCTCTCACAGCTGAGCATAAATTCTTTCAGAAAAATCAAAAGTTTAATTGGATTCCGTATTTGCCTCATAAATTTTTCATTGCCGAGCAGAATGCTGTTATTTATTTTCATCGTAGGTATAAACAACTCGGTCGCGTGTTACGACCCCTTGAGTGAAATTGAAGCTACTCAAATACTGAGTTAACATTTTAAATAATTATATTTCAAAACTATTAAATATCTCATTTCAATTTTTAACTGGTATAATTGTAAATAATTAAGCTTTTAACTCTCATTTTTAACTTTCATAAATTTCTCAATTTATTTTAAAGTTATAAGCAATGTATTGATATAATATGTTTATAGAGCTATCAATTTAGTTTAATCCAGAAAGGATTACAAACAAAAATTTTATTTATTAATGATCTCACTTAAGCAATTATTTTTGCTTTTTTCCGCTTTGATTTTTGGTTCTAATCAGCTGCTTTTGTTTGTTCTATCCCCTATTATTTTAAATTATAAACCAATTTTTTTTACTAAAAAATAAATAACAGCTAATGCAAGACATAAAAAAATGATCGGATTACTTATTTATAATTATTTTCAGAAAGTTTTTTTGTATGACATAAGCAAACGTAAGAAACTTAAGGATGATCAAACACAAAGTAACTTCTATAACTCTTTACATAAGAAATTAATCCCTTGTCTCCGTATTTATCACAAGAGTCTATTCATTTTATAACGTAAGAACGGTTTATTATTTTGCGAGTTACTCAATCCAACAAAATGATTACATCTTTAAAACGTAAATACTTGATTAGCTCTAATATGTATATAAAATTCAATATCATACCGAAGACCATTACAGTGAAACAACAATCTCAGTGATATTATTTCATATCTGACTTAAATAATATTAATGTAAGAAAGATTTTATAGAACGTAGATATAAATGGCAAAGAGTTCAATGAAGCCACACTGTACACTATAGATCCAAGTCGGCTTATTGTATTGGTATTCCCATTGTGTTACTCTATAATAAAACCAACTTGTCAAGAGTTTTCATCATATAGTACACAGACACACTTATCGATATATATACACAAATATACCTCGTCTAGTGTTATTTACAAAAAAGACTAAATAAAGTAAAAAAAAAAATTCTTAAGAGGTTTACAGTTTAATTATTCTATATAAACAAAATAGTCAAATCCTAGCGCCAAATTCCTCAGCATTGGTCAACGTTTGAGCTTAGATTTTGTGAGACAAATCAAATATTAGGAAATTTGTGACTAAATAATTATTTTATAGTATGTCCTTACTTAACTTTTTAAAATAATTTTCTTGGGCTGAAATTTTTTTTCTTGGACCAAAATAATTTTTCTATCAATGTATGAACTAAAAAAAATCTTGAAGAGTTCAATTAATAATTGGTAATCTCAACCTCTAATTAGATTCGAATGGTTATATTGTGTTCAATTTAATGTTTCTTTTCCAATTTTATCTTTATACTGTTTATCAAATTTCATTTTAATTTTCTAGATTAAAAAAAATTGATAAAGAAGTCAAATTATGTACAATAATATTCTATATTTTTTTATCATCAGCATTATCCCAAACAATCCTTTAACCTTTCTATTATCTCGAGTGTTCTTATAACTAGCGGCATTTCAAACCCAGGATTTAAATGGCAAGAGATTTATTGTCGGTGCTTGTCAGTATCTACGGTACTCACCACCCTACAATTGTAACAGACATTTTTTCATAAAAAAAATACTGAAAAAAAAAAAAATAAAACATCCTCGAAAAATTTATGCAGCGTCAAAAATGACTTCTATTCGCTTTAATAAATTAAAAATCTTTTAAAAACTTTTGCCTAACCAGCTTTTCGACGAATATTTCACTCCCAGAAAAACAAACTGAAATGATATTATATAGAATATTAAAATATTATATTTGAATAAACTTTTGCTCTTTCAGTTGATTTACATCATGTGAAAATAACTATTTATACAATCAATTGTTTTGAATAAAGTAAAGTAACCTCAAACATGTCTAATAGTTTTTTAGCCAGGAAGCATTCATCATATTTATATTAATATCTTCCACCGCAATATTTAATAGTGAATCAAGAATTTTTTAATATTTCATAATCATAAGATTACATCAAATGGTATCGACTGAAATCGGCATTTGAAAGCTACAATAAAAATTTTATCTTCAATAACTGATGAATCTTTCGGAAGCTATTTTGGTCTACATTTCCCTGGCTATTGCGGTTTTACTCCTGTTGGGTAACTTTATACCTCATATCCCATAAGTTATAACCATAACTTACAATAATATATCAAAGGATAATATTCGACAATAGACAATAATTTACAGGCATCTTAAAGTGGATTATTGGATTCTGTATACCCGGAGTTAGTCAATGGGGTTTGAATGTTCTGGTGAACGGCAGTTGTGCAGAAATGGATATTTCATCTCGGGATTCCGGTAGAAGTATAGATATATTTCGCAAATCGGATCGACCGCAAACTATTCGCATCTGTAGTAGGTAATAAATTTTTTCTTATAAATTAACTGTGCTAACTATTAACTACAACTATCAACTATGAATCATTCATATTGTTATTTATTACATTGGGTTAAAATTTTCGTTGATAGAAAGCTGGAATTTTTCCTCAACTTGACATTTTTTTTAACCTTTCCCATTGCCGTATGTTGCAATTTGTGTAATGGTTCGATGGTGAAGATGCAGGACTGCTCTGATGAATCTCACGTAATTTTTATGCATTTTGCTCTATTAATTTTTTTATTATTTGTCTAAGTTATAACATTTGTTTCTATAAATTTGATACTGATTTCTTCGTATCAACAGTACTTTAATGCATTATTGTAATTTTTAAGAAATTTTCAATAATTGTTTTTATACTCCAAAATTATTTAAATAATTTCAAACCAAATTTGTTTTTCTTTTTAAAAAACTAAACTATCTAAATAAAATATTATTTGTCTCTAAAAAAATCGAGATACATATAAGCTTGCGTTAGAGTACCGTCGATATCAATTTAGTTAATGCATCAATTAAAATCCTCTTTGATTTATTCAGACACGACTGATTGATGGAAATACTTCTACAAAAACAACTCCCAAAAATAATTACGGAGAACTTAATCATATCTCTTCGACTCATGAATTAGAAGAAGCACAAAATATCAAGAATCAATTAATTGAATCTCGAGAGGCTTCAAATGCCGAGAGGAAACTATCAAAGGCTAGATAACTATGTCTTATTTTTATTAAAGATTTAGGCTTTACTAATAAGTGATCAAAGAGAAAATTTTTATAATAAACAAATTTATCATTTGATTTTATATTTTTAACATGCAAATAATTATTTTGATTACAATTAGTCAGGCAGATTCCTAAAAGCAGCTGATCTACGTTACCGAGTAATGGTAAGGTGAGTTACTACTCTATTTATCAAAGAATCAATAGAACACATTTTAAAATTTTAGTTGCAAAAATTAATATAAATTTCCAGAAATTTTTTCGCAAATATTTTAATAAATCAATTATAAATATTTTATAGAAATCATATTAAAAGGAATAATTTAAATATCAGTCGATAGTGCCATCAGTTGAAAATAATGGTTTAATCATCATTAGATAAAAAAAACCGTCTATAGTAATTATAAATTTAATAAAAGTTGTCAATGAATTTACTATTACACTGGATATAATTTTTGGGCAATTAGTTTTTTATTTTAAAAATTGTATCAATTTACTAAAGTAGATAATAATTAGAAGACCAAAGTAGAGTGAACACCAAAACTAAAAGAACAAACTTATTATTATATAGACTATGGCATTTCCAGAAATGAGCGATTTAAGACGATTTATGAACTCTCATAAAAGTAACATTCAGAGGATTTAATTCCATTAAAAACTATTTTATTCGAATTTTTTTTAATGATAATTAATCGTGTCAAGTGAGATGAACATTAGTATAAAAAAAATGGAAATGAAAGTCTTTTGAAGCATTATAATAGTAAAAAAATAAAAGAAAGTGACTTTAAACTTATTAATATTCTAGTTAGGAATGACTAAAGAATTTAATTTTCCAACTCCGATGCATTAAAATGAATGAATGGCTGCAAGAGGGTCTTTTGGCCTCCAGACCTTATGATTTCCGGGCTCTGGCTTTTTAGACTAGTGATAGCGTATAATTTTAAAGGGTTTCATTTATTAAACTGGTGGTTTCATTTTTTAAATTTAAACTTTCGATTTTAGTTCATAACACTTTAAATGACAATTTTAATAATTGCGACTATTTAAATTATTAATTCTGATAATTATTATCATCCTGCGGGTGATAGTTATCGTCGATAATTATTGTCAATCATCATGGTCATAGTGTATAATCTAAAATTTATCGTACTGTAAAATAATGGTCAAAAGGTCATTAATATCCCTGGCGTAAACGGCCCGATATCCACCAAATAACAACTTTACCCGAGCGAACTCTACCATAACATTCCTACCAATAAATAGCCCTACCCAATTACAAGTCTACCCTAATTAAACACAATCAAGTAACAACACCACCAAATAATTTCACCACCTTATTACATCTTCGCTGTAGAAAAAACACTCGTGATATTAGACTCTGCTAATAAGAGTGCTTTTTGCGGTGGATAAATAATGATGCTGCATAATTTGGGTGAAACTCATTTTATATACTTATACTTACGGCATGGCAGGGATGCAAATATATCATTATACGTTTATTACGACAATTATTATCATTCGTCGTTCTTGATGTAATTTTCGTAAGCAGTGAAGTCATGAATTACTCTGAATTTTCAGAGTTTACTCATCGCCATCAAACGTATGACTCAATTATCTTGATTAAATAACGTGAAATAATTATTCCGTAATAGAGAAAATTTACATAATTTGCAGTACCGAAATTTCATAAAAATTTTATTCTGGTTACCATTTTTCGTAAATAATTTCAAATTTTTTAATTAGTTCAATTACTTTATTTGTTGGTTTTGTTTAATTGTAGTTCTCATTAGTAAACCTTAGCTTTATGTGATCCGCTCAAGCAATAGTCTTAATAATAGTAAAACAATACATACTTCATATTTACTTTATACAGAGATATTCTGAGTATTTACTTAATAAATTTCATTGTGCGAAAATTGCTTTGAAAAAAAAAAAAAAATTAAGAAAATCGATCTATGAGAAATCTAAAAATTGAAACATTTCAAAATTTTTTTCCTAAATTATAAAATAAAATGTTACACATAGTAAGATTATTTAATTAATTTCAAATAAAAAAGTAATAAAAATATTTTAACTGTTTTTTGACAATTCTGTAACACTGCCTGAAAATTACGACGTTTACTAATGGGAACGTTCATACGTATGAGGTATATAAGTCACAATTATTTCCTGTGCATTCGTATGCATCATGAAAATATCAAGTTTGTGTTGACGCAGAGTTTGGTACAAGATTTTTGGATTTAAATTTAATCCTAGATACAACAAAACAATATAACATTTTCACACATAATAATAATAAATATAATAATAATAATAATAATAATAATAATAATAATAATCATAATCATTACTATTGATAAAATTCATACCACTGAGTGAATACACAAAATTCAATTTCTGAATAGAACGCCCGCGGAATCGAAGCTGCTTTCTGCAGAAACATTACGGGGTGATTCTTTGAACATGTGTTACTAAAACTATTTGAGTTAGTATGTACGAATAATTATAATACACCAGTGTGAATTGGTACACTCGGTTGACGCTTCGTAAACTTCACACTTGTGTATTAAAATTATTCGTACATATATAATATTAGTTTCTATGCTATTTTGTTCTATTAGAAAAACGATTTTTGGAGATTGTAAGAGTAAGTACCCAAAGCTTATTCTTTATTTTATGAATTAAAACACTCAGTACACTGATTGAAATATTAATTTTAATATTTTGAAAAAGAATGATTATATAATTGAATAATATTAATTGAAAATATATTGATTAAATACTGTTTGTTAGTCACAGTGGATATAATTAATTATTATTAATCCGGAAGCTTTCAAAATAATAAATTGGGTTAATTGATTAAAAATTATAATTGATAATTATCAATGATATTAATGAAATATATTTGAATTTTCTGTGTTAATATAATTAAAATTTCAAGGAACAATATCAGATATTAACGTTATTTTAACACGCTTTTTAATTAAAAGGTACATTAAATTTCAATTAAGCTTAATTACGTGCATTATAAATGTTATTATTATTTTGACGATTAAAAAAAAGCAAAAATAAAAGCAGGAATTAAAAGTGAAGAGCTGGACAATTGAATAAACATCTGGTATCGTATGACTCTGAGCATTCTTTAGCATCTACAATCCACAATAGCTTAATGCGGAACAAAAGAGAATGCACACAATAAATGCACGTATGAGACTTACAATAAATAACATCCATGTATTGTATGTACTCTTATTCAGCATGCACGTGTGAATATGGACACCATACACACTACAGTGTATACTAAGAATGTGTGCAGCATACACACAACATATAACAGCTCTAAATACTAAACAGTCCACTAATACTCGTGCCGCAGCAGTAAAGTCGTATCGCGGATATATATAATAGCGACTAAAAACTGCGTTTTTACATCCACAGTTGCATACGCTTCGTTATATTAGCTGTAGGATTCGTTATAGCATGCAATAATCTCGAGCACATGACAACTACTTTCATTCAATACACCGCCCAAAAATAAACCGACTCGTAAATTCAAAAAAATAAATAATCTATTAAAACTTTCGGGTGTGGACGAAAAATCCTATGATAGTTAAATTTTTTACATAAATTCGCCGTTTATTTACAATCGGTTTTTTTATTATTTTTAGCAGTAAAAAATTGAGTTTTATTTTTATTTACAGAAATATTTTTTATTGAAATAAATTACTGCTACTCTTCTGATCAATTTTTTAAATTTATTACTACTACTATTATTATTATTTATTTATTTTTGAATACAGTAAGCTACGATTTAAAAAAAACATTTTTTTTTTTTATATAAATAACTATTCTAATTCATTTTTTCATTAGTTGAATTACACGGGTAATTATTTTTAAAAACTTAAGATGTAAAAATTGTCATTTGAAGATAATATAAAAACCCGCGCAAATGACAGTGACTCAGATTTTGTTACGTAAGGCGTAAACGTAAATAGATAATGAGTGTAATAATTAAAAAAAAAAATTACTCATAATACCAGATGTAACAAAAAATAAAAATAAACATAAATTTAATTTTAGATCTAGAAAAATATGTTAGGCCTTGTGTTAGTTTCAACAAACAGCAGTTAGCGATGCATTTATTTATTAGCAGAATGAAAACAATAAAAAAAAAAAAACTATCACTTTTAAAAACTAAAAGTTTAATTTTCTCGATTTCCACTTTGTTGCAATATACAAGTAATAAGAATGAGTAATTTAAAATATAAGAAAGTTTTATAATTATCCGATATTAAATGAATTACTGAACGGATAAAAAACGAACAACACTGAATGGGAGTAATGTATTAAGAAAAAAAATAAAAGTATTATTGTAATTCAGGGTGTTCACAATGAGAAATTGAAACGCATTAATAATGTGTCCGGATAAAAACAGAAAAACGTGTTGTGCTATCTAGTCTGTTTCCCTCAAATTATCGGGGTTATATATTTTATCTCATACTTGGCTAACGATAACCTTAATTTTGATACGATCCTAGATCTTTTCCGGTTTGTAATGTGATACTGCGGTTACCGTTATATTATACTAACTAAGTTAAGTATAAAAACTCAATATCTCTTCCAGTGATGCGTAACCTGCTGCTTTCAAGATGATAACACCATATTATTATAATTCATTAACTGTTAAAAAATTTTCTAACATATATATCCTTAGTTTTTATAATCTATAATATATCTCGGGATCTAACACTGAAATTTGCCAATTAAGTTATTAACAATTATCATTATCATTATCATATTGGTAGAAATTTATCGCTCCTGGTAAATATCAATTATGAATTGGCAAATGCGCAAAAGAGAGTGGCTACCCAATTTCGAAACCTAGTTAGAGCCAAATTATTAAAAGCTTATTATTATTTATAATGAAATTACTTTCGATAACATGTTTTTTATCGGACAATATTTCTTCTTAAAAGTTTATGTTACGAATTT